GGGCACAGAAAAACAAGGGGAAAAGTTTAACTCAGTGAAGTGTCCACTCCTGTTTCTGAGTCTCACAGTAAGTGTTGGTGCTTTGTTTGTCTTCCACAATAATAGGCAGAGAGTTGGATTTATTTGATATGTTTCCCTACCACATAATTAAACCCTTAAATGGATAAAAAGGAGAAATCAATAGAAACTGAACTGAAAGAAAGAGGTAGACATGTAAGGCTAAAATGTATTCCTAATTTTATGTCTGCTTTGGAGTTTGGTCAGACTTTGGCCTGAGCAGAAGAAATGCCTAGGAAGTTTGGACATGGACATGCAGTCTCCTTGCCATCTCTTGAGGTATGTGGCCCCCTGTGCAGGATGTGTAATCTCTGTGCAGGTTGAGATCCATATAAATATATTTAATAAGTATCATTTGTTGTTTCTAAAACACAGAACACAATGAGTCCTGCCAGGGATCTGTAGCCCATGATCAGAGAGAAATTTGTTTTTTTATTATTAGTTAAGCATTACTTCAGTATCAGCTGCATATGCACAGCTTGTTAAAAATTTTTCATGTTCTAAAAGTAAGATAATTTTAAAGGGTTATCTCTTCAAAATCACTTTGCTACCCTTTAGAGTTTGGTTATGCTTCTAAGACTAAAAGGATAGCAAAGACTTGTGCCTGTCAAACGTCCAAAAGATAAATTAGTACATATGGATTTATTGACTTCATTTCACTGATAAAACATGCTTTTGTGAGTAGCAGTTGTCTCAGCCCCTTGCTAGTAATTGGAATGTTGTGTCCTGCTGACAATTCCAGTGCTGTCCCTGGGGCCAGTGTGCAGCTGTGCAGCCCTGGCACTCCTGAAGACCTTGCCACATCTTTGGTTTTGGCACAAGAAATTAAAATATTATTTCTGTTCAACTTCCAGGGAAATGATAATTCAAACTCTCTTTGGTCCCTATGTGTAGACTTAAATTTATCATTTTAACATAGGTCAATTTTGAAGTTGCTGGAATCTTCAGATATAACATTTTTAGTTTCTGGTGTTTAAAGGTTCACAGCAGTAAGATTTATTATTTATTCTTGGAAGATTGCATTGACAAAAACAGAGGGTAAACTGAGATTTGAAGAAAAATCCAGAAGATGAGTGCGATCTTGAGAGACAAAGTATGGATGAATCCATGAGTGTGTTTTTCTGTCTCTTCATACATCTTACAGAAGTTAATATAAAGGTACTTAACACAATGTTTTCCAAAGATAAGGGAAGACTGTTAGTCTCAGAAAGTTTTTTTCAAGCTAATACAAACTTCCTCCAAGTGTGCATTGGTGCATGAGCCTGGCTATGGAGTAAGGACAGTCACCTAGAAATGTCAGATTACTGTAGACAAGAAGTTAATTTTCAATGTGTATTTATGCCATACTTCTTTTAGAAACCAATAAGTTTATATTTTAATGATAGGCTTTTCATTCTCAATAATTCAAACATTTAATGTCATGTCAAATTTTAGTTTCCTTTTTAATAGTATAAACTACGTAACATGCATGGTATGAGGGAAATATTTTTTACTCTCATATATTCCAAGACACACTTTAAAATGTTTTCAAGTACTCTTTTCAGGGAAATATGAATTGCACAGAATATAAATTTCCCTGATTACGACTCAGAACTCATCTAAACCCTTAAAGGGAGGGGAAGGTACACAGAGAAAATGCTGTGCTTAGTATTGAACCTTAAATCAGACCAAGTATTAGTGTTCCTATTGGCTGTCATGAAGCTGAGGCCACATTTTTCAGTCCAGCTTTTTTTAGGATGGTCCTAATGCTAGATTGCACCATACTTAAAAGAAGGAAATAAATTTCTAATAAGAAGCCTCTGAATAAGGATTGAAAACAAAACAGTTGCCTGCCCACTTAAATGAGGGCTGGGTCCCAGCTGGGAGCTGGGAGGAAGGTGTTTGGTGTTTTCTGAGGGTGGGAAATGGCCATCAGCAGGGAGATTTTCCTCATCACTCCTGCCTGAACTTCACACTCTGTGGGGTTGGCAGTGTTTTTCATAAACTTTCTGAACCAGTGACATCAGGAAACAGCCAGAAACCACGCAAGTGGTTTGGTTTTGTTGTTATTTTGGAGTTTATTTATAGGATTTGTTGCTTGCACTACAAATAAGCTGTATTGTTTGAGCTACCAGTGGAGGAAATGCAGACAACTCAAAGGTGCACACTTAGTTCCAAATGCTTTTTGCTACAGAGTGAACTTAAAAGTTGTATGTGCCCTTCTTCAGTGCTGACAGCATACAATTAAAGAGTTGCATATGGAAACCTAACTGAAGATCTTTTCCTTTTGATGTCTGTTCAGGATTTCCACTGGTGCTAAGTTGAAATTATATCTATCCCATGTCTAAAACAAAGCAGGCTGCACAGGCTAACAAATAATTGTAGTTTTTATCAAGGAAGGCAAATTTCTGGAAAATCTGGGGGTCGTCCCCCATTATTTCCTTTTATATCTTTTGGCAAAGTGCACTTGATTCTTCATGAAACAAATTTTCCTTTTTTCATTAGCGCTCATGCTTGACTGGAAAAGCCACTGCTGGCAGGTGTGTAAGCCTGGGTTGTGTGATGATTAGCAGGAGGGTAATGAATCAGCTTGGGCTTTCCATCTGTGGGATAAATCAGGGGCTCCAGCTGCATGTAAATAGTGTGGTGTTGTTCTGTCTTATAGCATTCTACCAAAACCCTGTGCTTAAGAAAGAAAGAGATGTTCATAATCTTCAAAAAGTAAGGATGGGAAAATTTAATGTTGCTTTGCTTTCAACAAAGTCTAAAAACTATTTTCACCAGGTTTTGTAAAATCCCTTTCTTGGTTCATGATCTTTTTCACTTCTAAATATGAATGCCATGTAAAGCTTTTTTAATATGATGAGAAAGCATTTATTTTTTCTCCTAGACTTCATAAGGGAATAGTGTAAAAACAAACCCAAATCAAACCTTTATATTTTCATAAAGGCTAGATTAAATTAAAGCTTCAAAAGTTTTGAGTTCTCCTCAGAAATTCTGATTTTTATTTACATTGCCTCTTTGTCACCTTGGAAACACTATTCTGTGCAGAATAGCACTGTGGAAATGTGGGTCCCAATTGCAGTTCTTAAATTTCTCCTCTGCAAAACATCTCCCAGAACTTGCAGATGTAGAGGGAAACTTTATCTGTTAGTATTTCAGTCTTTTTCTCCAACTTTGGTGTTTACATTTGTTAACATTTCTTGTTAACAAAAGGAAAAAAATGACCTTGGAATGTACATATACATCTTGCTCCACAGACACCTTCCTGTAATATAACAAAAACATTTCCCCATAAGGCAACAAAGAGCACTACATGAGCAGTATAGACCCTTGTTGCTGATGTATTAGGTCTTTCCTGAGACACTGATGCAAGAGAATAGAGAGACACATATTTCTGCAAAGCAGTAATTCAGCCCAGAATTTTAATATAAAGAACACCAAGGCAGTATCCTGTTATCTGAATTTTAATGACTGTATCTTTTTTATCCTGTCAGTTGTAGCAAGGATGTGAGAGGCTTCATGAAACATTAATGGCTCTAACTGCAGTCCTCTCCATTTCCTTTTTTCTCTCTTTTTTTGTTCTTCTGATGTGATGTAAAATATGAATTTGTGCAGTGGAACTGCTTTCTGCGCAGGGCTGTGTTGCTTGCTTGATCTTGCAGCAGTGACTGTGGTTCCTGTTTGGGCTGGGAGCTTCCACACCGGCTGCCTGAGGAGAGGGAAAGGGCTGGAGGTGCATGGAGAGATCTTGCTGATGACAGAGCATAAACAATTTGAAATGCAGTCCATATTTTAGGGACTTTCAAATAAATGGCCAGCAGGATGTTCTGCCTCAGTCTCGTCTGTAGGCTGCTGGTTGCTGGCTGGATGAACTGTTCAAAAGGCAAAAAGCCACAGGGAATGTCAGATCCTCTCTCCTCCTCAACCCCCAAGAAACAGGACTGAGAATGGGGTAGAGAGGGACTAAACCTGAAGTTTTCAGGGCCCACCAGAGCAAGGGCACACCAGAGGATGTGGAGATTACTGTACATGCCAGGCACTGCAGCGGGGCTGCTGGGCAGAGTCCTGAAGGATAATGGATTCCTCCAACAGCCAGTCTCCCAAACCTGAAACCTGTGCAAGGGGGTGTCATTTGACTGAGTGCTCTCACTTGAGAACTTCCAGAGGAGCATTGCAAGAACACATAGAGTTCCCAAGCCTAGTGAAGAACCCTAGAAGCAAACAAGCATTGCTTACCACAGGCACAGAGGCCAAGTGTGTTTGTGCTCTGCTGCAGGCACAGTTTGTGGTGACTGGGGTGGGGCTGGCCCAGCCTCATCCCCATGGCACAGCTGTGACTGACCAAAAAGGGAGCAGAGGCACACAGGTGCAGTGCATTAACAATCAGGGTTATAAAAGGCTGGGCCAAAGGGCAAGAAAGGCCTGCAGATGGTTGAAGCCTTCTTTGGTGTTAGCTGTGCCTCCACTGGAGTCCCCACAGGAATCTGGTATGTGAGGTGCTGCAAAAAGCAAATTTACCTGCTCTACAAGGTGCATGATAGGAAATGCTCTTGTTTATTCAGAGGAAGCCTGTTGCAAACATAAATATGCATTTTGTGATGCTATAATATAGTGACTATAATGTGGCAGCAGCAGATGTAAGCCCTGATGGGTTTATTTTCACTCTAAGGGAGTATGACACTGATGTGTTCAGTGAGAGGGTGTCACCACACTGCTGTGACGTGTGTGTGTCATGCTGTCTGCCATTCTCTGGGACTGGGATATTTGCTAGCAAATGTTCTGCCCTTCATGAGCCTCATCCTGAGAAACAAACCCATAAGGCTTTGGGGAGCAGAGACACCAATGTGTGCTCTCCTTTCCTCTCCATTCCTTAGGCAGCTCCAAGAGTTGGGAATAGCCTGACCTCCAACAGTTTCCCTCTTGTTTCTGAAAAAAAGTCTGCTTTTTTTTCTCAGATGGCAAAAATATGGCATACTCTTCCAGAAGCTGGAGAACCATTTTCTTTGCTCTGTTGGAGTTTGTGTCTGTCTGGAGGTGCTGGATGAACTGTGGATATCGGGGATATGCTGAGTGAGGCCGAGACCTTCTACTGTAAGTACATTTTAATTAAAGCAGAGGTTTATGTGGAAAGGTAAACACACATCAGCTGCTTTGTTTTTCAATGAGTATTCTTTCAGTTTTCTGTGATTTTTCTGCTCTGGGAGCTGTGAGGAAGGTTGGAAAGGTGCACTGGGTGTACCATGCCCTGTGTGCATCAAGCGTATGATGGTCTGTGAGAGGGAGCTTGGGATTTTGTACAGTAAATAAAGCAATATTTAGTAACAGCACTGGTCTTTTAGCCCTGAGTTTGGTTAGCATGGCCACACTGAACAGCTGGAGAAGCAAATGGTGTGGCAATGTAGTGTGCTGTTTAGCCATGGACCAGTGCAGCCTGCTGCTGTCCACAGAGCCAAACTGATAAAGGCAGGTGTTAACAGCTCTGATGCATACTTAGATTTTATCCATTACTATTATCTATTTAGAAATACACTTGCAAATGAATAATCAAGTTGCATTCTCTGTGGAACAGACTGACTGCCAGTATACTGCAGAGCTTTGATAAAAAGAACTGCAGAAAAAGTGAGACCCAAAAAAAGTCGATGTGAAATAAAATTTAGTTCACTTTGATTATGCTAATTAAGGGAGCTTACACATTTCACCATGATTAACTGAGATGCAGTGGTAGAGCTCAATATATATGGGAGTTCATTTAATTGTCTGCAGTTCTATCTTTTTATTTAACAAATGCTTCTTGATTTAAATGGAAATCTCTAATTGCAAAATGATCCCTGATGCAGCATGTCACAACAAACACATACATTCTGTTACAAAAAGAAAACTTTGTCTGTTTATATTATTTTCATTATTGTCCCAGGCTTTCCTAATTCTTCCACTTTCCTTCATTCAGCATAAAGTTCACAGTATGTCTGTCTGAAACAATAACAACAACAACAAAATGGGATGCCTATTATCAGTGAATCAGTGGCATTTACAAGTGGGATTTAAACAAATCTGCTGTAATAATTGTGGATGGTTTGTTTGAAATCTGAGTTTTCTTCCTGATAGAACCAGGAAGAGTTTTGATAGAAAACAGAAAAGGTGACATTTCATGCTAGTTGACATTAATGAGCTTCCCTGGACTCTAGAGAAATTCTCCTTTTTACAGAATCAAGGCCAACATTAGGAGATTAAGGGTTTATATGACAGGCAGTTAATAGAAGGATGTTTGTGGGAGGAATGTCTGGTTTTAATAGAGTAAAAAATAGAGGGAAAATATGATGTAAAGGAAAGAAAGGGTAAAACAGAAAAAGCCAAATAAAAGGAAAGGGAATATCCTCTGAAATGGAGTAGGCCAGTCTGAGGATTCCTATGCACTGCTGCTTTGAGAAGGAGACTGGATTTGTGTGCAGTATAATTTGCAATAGAGGTATCCTGTGCCTGGCTTGGTCTGTCCCCTCAGTGCAGCAGCAGAAATCCCTGCCTTCACCATTAATCTGGATTCACTGGAAGCAGTACACACAGTAGAAATGTTTCTGTTGCTGTAGTGTTCTTTGGAAAAGCAGGAAGCACTTGTAATGGAAAACATGCAATATGAGTGATAAAGAGGGTCACTGAGGTTCAGTCCTTCAGAAACATGACCTTCTTTTGTTTTCTAAGTATGAACTGGTAGGGAGGTAATATTTCCCCTGTGTTGAAGCTGATTGTTCTAGAACTAATGTGAAAACCTCAAAGTTGGGGAAAGACATTAAAAGGAAGGACATGACAACCAAAGAATAGAACACAGACTAAGACAATGCTTCCTGTCCCATTTATTAAATGCTATTTATAGTTTCAGCTAAGAATATACATGCAAGGCCTGATCATATATAGAAAATCACAGCACATTAAAAAGAAAGTTTTCTGATTCTATTTAGGACTTTATTAATAACTGGCAGCTTTATCACAATATACATTAATTACATGTAGAGCTACATTTGCATAACACCACAGCTGCCATTTAAATCAAAAACACACTCAGATGTTTGGTAGATCTAAGCATTTTGTTTGGATTTCAGAAAATGTGCCTCTTAGAAGATTAAAGTAGACCATGAAATAAGACAATTTCCCTGCTGGTTTTGCTATGTAATTCATTCAGCACAGACAATTAGGAGGTACGAAGTACCAAAGGAGTTAAATTCTTCTTGCCCTGTGGTCTCTGGGCAGTCTGTTTTCTCCACTTGGCATTAAATTCACTGCAAAGGTACTAATCAATGTATCAATGTGGTATGTTCAGACTGTTCAATTGAGGTAGCGAATTTTGAGGGTTTCTATTTCCTTGGATTTTTTTTCATTTTTTCCTTCTGTCTCAAATAGTAAAATAATGAAATATATATGTATATATAGTTAATCTTTCATAGTGATGAAAGTTTCTTTGTCATTATGCATAAACCTGTGAATTAATGTCCCGACAAGATGTGTAATATTTTAAATAATAGTTGAGTGTGGAGTCAGGAGGTGTCATTTGCCTCGGGACAGAGCAGAGCTCCAGGTCTGCCCATTATGAGCCATTCCCAAGCTCATTTTAGGTGCTGTGGGTGCCACATCCTGCATCTGTCACTGCTTTGCAGCACTGCCAATGGAGCCTGCACATGAGACAGGGCTTGCTTCCAGGATCACTGCCATCACTTTATGCCTCTGTGGTGGAGCTCCTGCTTCGTCCTGAGTTAGTGTGCTGAAATGTTGACTTTTCAGAAATTCCTGGCATGTGAATAAGTGTAAGAGTAGCAAGGAAAACAGCAAGTGTTGAATACATTGGTTGCTTCCAACTCAGCTGCTGAGTATGCAATGCTGTTGTTTCTGACATACTGCTGTCTTGCATAATACTTTTGTATTTTTCTTTTCCTTGCACTGAGAACAAGTGATTTTACTTTTGGGCCTGTGTGTAGCTCATTCACCATTGCACAGAGCACTGTCCCCAGAGACTCTGAGCTGAGCCTTAGGTGTCAGGTTTGAGTGTGTTTGGGGATCTGTCATCTTCACACAGCTACTATTCTCTGTACCAAATTTGTTTTAAGTATTTTCCCTTAAGTGTTTCTATTGCTGGAGATCAAATTTTCAGGTCAGCTGGCCATTAAATACTAGCTGCACAGTTTTTTGGTCTCGTATCCCTTGTTCAATTTCTATTGAGAAAACTCACCAGCTGAGTTGCTCCAGGTATAAATCAGTGTGATAGAAGGCAGACTTTGTCCCTTTCCTTTTTAGCCAAATTGTGTGCTCCCTGTCTGGAAGACTCTAATCTTTCCTCTTTGTGACTTCTTTGATGTTTACCATGATCCTCTGCAATCTACAATACAGATTAAATAATCCACTTTACTTGCTGCCTAAATGATGTAATCTTTAAATACTTGTGCTGCTGTCCAGATTGCTATTTCAACAATTTGCTGTTTAAATACTCCTTCTGCAAGTGAAATACCTGTAAAACTGATGCCTAAAAAACACACGTAGGAATAGGTGCTCTCCTCAAAAACTGAAGACACACAGAATAATGAGGTTGGAAGAGACCTCTAAGATCATCAAGTCCAACCTATGCCCTAACACCACAACTAGACTATAGCACCAAGTGCCAAGTCCAGTCTTTTTTTAAACTTACACAGAGAGGGTGATTCCACCACCTCCCTAGGAAGACAATTCCAGTATTTCATTATTCTTTCAGTTAAATTTTTTTCCTAATTTCCAACCTAAACCTTCCCTGACACCTTTGCTCCTGTTTGTCTCTTGCCTTTCATTTTTGCTTTCCAAGCAATGTGCTTTTCTGTCCAATCCTTGCACATTATTCATCCTTCTCACGTCATTTTCAAGGCCTTCTAAGCTTGGAATTCTTTCTTGGACCAGAACAGTCTGCCACCACTTTTTCCTCTGAGATCAGTATTTAGTGCTAATTCAGTACCATGTTTCCACTGCTGATCAAAAGCTCAAAGCCCTTTGTTCAACTTGCCTATATCATATTAAATTGAAAATTTAACTATCAAATGTAATATTCCTTTTGAGTCAGCTGGCAGAAACTGATCTAACAGGCTGGAACTGGGAAAGGATGGTGCCTGGTGGCCTGGACTTGTGCATTGTATTCCTTTGCACTTACTTAAATATGTTTAATTTCAGAGCTCCTGAAAGTGAAATGATATTTGAGTCCCAAGTAAAATGTACTCTGGGTGCATCTTGCATCAGAATGTGGAATATTCCATGCTCCACTCCCTGGGGCTGTCTGGCACTGTAAACAGCAGTTGTATGTCTGAATTTATGCCAGGAGCAGGTTAACTGAAAGGAGAGACGAAATCAGCCCCAGTTAATCCCTGGTCCTGAAGCAGCAGCTCTTACTTTCCAAAAGCAAAAATTGGCTGTGCATGAGGCCTAATCTCTGTGTTAAGGATGGTATTTGTTGACTATAAGTGATGATAAACCTGGTGAATATATGGCAGAGTGCCAGGGTGACACCGGCCTGTTCTTGCTCTAGGAATCAGGAGGGTTGGCAGAATGCAGGGCAGACATTAGTATTTATTCTCATTTACTAATGCCTATCCTACAGTGAATGGAACTGACTCTGCTTTTCTCACCAAACATCCAGGTATGCAAACATAACCCTTGACAAACCAAGCAAATAAAAATTAAAATCCTGATGGAATCTGTGTAACAATGCAACACATTTCAATTAATGAAACCACACAGATTCCTGGGCCTGCCTAATGCTCACCCAACTTTCACAGATGGTTACAGTGGGAAATTTTCCTTGATCTGGGTTCAGATTAGGGTTTAGGTTCCCCCACTCTACGATTTTTTTATCTCAGAGAAAGCTACTTAAGAGATCAGATATCTTTAAATTCCTTTTTTACTAAAGGTTTTGGGATGCAGAAAAATAACCTGTAACCACTTCTGTCTATGTCCTAGGTTGTAAGATAAGCTTGTATTCTATTTGCCATCTGTCAAAAGGTTGGGCAGGTTTTGTTATCTCTCCCAAAGACAATGGTTTGCCCCGTAGAGGCAATGGTTTGTTTATACACTATTGACTGACTCACTGC